GCCGGCACAGGACAGTCGTGGGACACTGGAAAACACAGTGGGACACACCCCACCACGTCGAGGAAACTGAGTCACGAGGGACAGCAGGGGTGGGACATCAAAGCACAGTCCCTGGGGAGCCTTGCAGAGCCCCCCCCCGTCCGTCCCTGGTCCAGCTCTTCTCCCCGAGGTCACGGGGTGCGCGTCCCCGCCGCCCTCGTCATCCATCCTTCCCGCTGCCTCCTGGGACTGTGCTCCGGGTCTCTGGGGAGGAACTTCTGGGATAAGAACACACACATCTCCGCAAGGACAAGCGGCGGTTGGCCTAAATCTACTCCGAGAAAGCAGAGGCTGAGCTCACGACACTGGACAACAGCGAGCAGAGCCTGGGCTGGCACTGAAGCCCACAGCCCGTGCCCGGGCCGAGAGGCGGCTGGCCGGACAGGCTGGGACGTGCCCCCTGGGGCTGGCACACACTAGCTTTGCACAGGAAAGGTGGCTGGTGGCTGGGGGTGGGGAGGGGGCACATGTGCTTGACACGTGGGTCGCTATGGGGCCTACACGGATAAGGGTGGGCTTCCCAGAACAGGGTGAGGCCTGTCCCGGGGACGGTGAATGGGGGGCCCCCCTTGGGAGGCCCAGACAGCCGGCACCCTTGAGACGGCCTCTCTCCCTCTAAGGTCTCCCAGTCCAGTGCGGGTGGCAGATGTCTTCGGGTGCCCTCACCCAGGCCACGGCCGGCCGCTCACGGGTGCTTCCAGGCCGGCTGCCCGAGTTGGCAGGGTTTGGGGCTGGGGCCAGGTGCGGTGGTGTCACGGCCAGGGTGCCTCTTCCCTCCCCGTCAGGTGGCAAACATGGTCATCTGGGTCACCAGGAAGGGCCAGGGGTGGTGGCCAGGGCCACAGCTGGCCACTAACGGTGCTTCCAGCCTGGCTGCCTGAGTTGTCGGGGTTTGGGGCTGGCCTTGGCCTTGGCAGCTGCTGAGAGGTGTTGGCCACATCAGCGCCAGGCTCTCCTTGCCTGGTCTCTCCAGGTCTCCAGTGGTTCTGCATAAACACAAGGTGAACAAAACACACCCCCACCAAGTCCTCCCTCCTCTTCCTCTCCTCCTCCTGCTTCTCTTCCTTCGCCCTGTCCTCTTCCTCCTCCTCCTGCTCCTCCTCCTCCTGCTCCTGCTCCTGCTACTTTGGAACAAAGGCTTCCCTGCACACCCACTGTGGCCTAAGCCAACTGTTGAACACTGGCCCACTGGGCACCCAGGGCCCCTGCTGGGAGTCTTCCCCACAGTCTTTGGGCCCTCTGCCTGCATAGCCCTGGCAGGACACGGGGGTCAGCGACTGTGCCTCAGCTGGCGCTGGGCTCCCGGGGCCTTGGGGTCTCTTGCCCTCACTCACCCAGGAGCTCGAGGGTGCTGCCTTCCTGGGGCTCCCCGAGCGCAGTGTAGACGATCCTGAAGATGGGCTGGAGCCTGTGGCCTTCCCTGCGGGGCTTTGCCTCTGTGCCTCGAGGCTCCTCCCCAGCAGCCCCGGCTCCCTCTGGTGGGGGCGGCCAGGGGGCAGGCTCTTCCAGGCCAGTGGGCATGCTTAGCTCAGAGCCCACGGGGTGGGTGTTGGGAGGTGGCCAGATGACCAGGCTGTCGCCCAGGCCAGGGTCCCCAGCCACACCTTCTTTAGCCCCTGCCTTGTTGGGGTCCCCATCTGGGGCCTGGTCATCCCAGGTGCTGGGTGTGGCAGATTCCCATGTGCATCCCTGGCACCTCATCTGGCCCCTGTGCCCGGCCCTCACTGAGCAGGGTGTGGTCTGGTCTTGGTTGGTGGAGCCCCCTCCAGCTGGTGCTGGGTCAGGGGGCTGGGTCTGGGCCTGGCTGCCCTGCATCTGAGCCCCAGGCAGGGCCCCTGCGCTTTGCAGGGGCTTCCCCATCCCTACCTTCCAATATTTCTTTTGTTTCCTTGGCCTGTGGTAGAAAGTGTTGTCCTGTCCTGAGCCTACTTGGCCTTGGACTTGGGATGGCTCTTGTCCCAAGCCCAGTTTCCGTTTCCCGATTCATGTGCAATCTGTCTCTTCTGCTTTACCAAGGGCTGGTTGGAGCAGTTGAAACACTCTACCCTGATGTGGCCATCTTCCCCACAGCTGTAGCAGAATGTGTGGCGTTTCCGTTTTCTTGAGCCTCGAGAGCCTGCCCTCGGCACACCACCCCTCCGGTGTTGGCCTCTGCTCCTCCGGCGCCGGCAACCCTGGGAAAGCCTCGCCTCAAAACTGTCGCCCAAGGCAGGCACAGGCACTGCCCCAACCCCACTGACTCCAGATGGCCTTGGGCCTATTTCCAGCCCCTCCAGCCTCTCCTTATCTGGCCCTAAAGTGGCCTCCCACTCTTCCTCCTCACGCAGAAGCTTCACCAGGGCCAGGAAACCAGGAGGCTTCCTTCGTTGTCTCATCAGCTTAAGTTTATCTCGAAGTTTGTCAGGAAGGGTAGCCCCACTCAAGACTTGTTTCAGGCGAGTCTGATTCACATTCCTTCGTGACACCACATTTTTTTCTACAGCTCTTTGGAGCAGGGGTTCCAAACGTAACACAAAGCTAGAGACTTTCTCTCCTACCTCCTGATAGGCCTTACAAAACTTCACCTGGGCAATTTTACGGCTCTCCACGGGTCCAAACACCTGCTGCAGGGCTGCCAGGCACTCCTCCACAGTTATGGCAGCGTTGCTGGCCCGGAGCCCACTGACCACCTGTAGAGCAGGGCCCCGCAGGCACTCCATGAGCCTCCGCCTCTTCTCCCCCTCAGGCACCTGCCACATCTGTAGCATGTCAGTGGTGTGCTCAAGCCAGGCTTCAAAGGCCAATGCCCCTGGAATGGATATGGTGTTCCCAGAAAACACTCTTAGTTCTCGATACAACATTTGTTCTAGCAGAGGCTGCACTGCTGCCCCCAGGGTCTGGGCCCAGGTCCAGAAATCTGGTGATATAGCCACTCTCGGAGCCAAACAACTGGCATCCGACTGGAGGAGTCTGTTCATGTCTGACACCGTCCGCCTCTCCTCCTCTAAGAAGCGGTTCAGTCTATTGAGAAATTCTCCATCTGAGTTACGGGGTTTTACAACCACTTCCCAGGGTCCCCCCTTTCCTGGTATTTCCCTGGGGACCAAAGCATAGTCGATATTTTGTGCAAGCTCCAGCAGAAACGCATGGGCATTCTCCTCCCTCCTAAACATCCTGCCAATAACCCTGTATCTGCCCAGGGGCCTGAAAGCCCCCTGGAGAGTCTCCTCAAACTCATCTTCGCTGCAGTCCTCGGGAATCCCCAGGATGAGCATGCACTTCCGGGTGTCCAGATGCTCCCCCCTACACCAGTCCTGCAACAGGGTCAACGGCATATCCCCAGATCTCTGCGGATTCGAATTTAGAGGGAGGGGAGTGATCAGGCAGTAATGCACATAAATCTGGGCCACCTCCCAGAGCGAACGCAGAAGGCCCAGGTCTCCAGAGCCTGTGAGTGCGAACCGGGCGAGAGCGAGGTTAATGCCCACCCCCCACCCCCACCC